GTTTGTGTGTGTGTGTGTGTGTGTGTGTGTGTGTGCGTGTGTGTGTGTGACTCAACAATCAACATTTGCACCAATAACTCATTACAGTTGTGACCATGTGTGGAAGTGTGAATTGCTCATTACTCTGGAATTTGTTCATGATTGTACCCATGTATAAACGTAAGTAACCATTCTTACACGATTCATTAACTTTGTAACTTGTGAGTTCATTACCTTTGTACCTAGTTCAGCTATCAAACTTTGGAGCACAGTCCCTGGACCCATTACGTACATCTGTAATCTGTAAATACCTTTGTAACTTGTCATAATTGTGACTAGACCTACCTGGAGTTCATTACCTTTGTAGATTGAGAGTTCATTACCTTTGTAAATTATGAGTTCATTACCTCTTTAACTTGCTCAGCTATCAAAACTTTGGAGTCCAGTCCCTGGACCAATTATGTACCTCTGTAATCTTTTGACTACCGCCCACAGGATGGGTATGGGGTGCATAATAAACATATTAAACTAACGACTCGGCCGCCACCAGAGGCACCAACAAACGGGTCATGTGACAAGAAACCTTATCATGGGATTTTCCAAGTGAATAATACAGCAACAATGACAACATCCGGAGAAGATACAACACAGTAGTTCAGGCCACAAACACTTAGTCAAGGGAGGCGCAGTGCCAGCCAAAGACACTTAGTTGATGGAGCGCAGTGCCAGCCACACTCAGTTGATGGAGCGCAGTGCCAGCCACAGACAGTTGATGGAGCACAGTGCCAGCCACTGACAGTTGGAGCACAGTGCCAGCCACAAACACATAGTTGACGGAGCGCAGTGCCAGCCACAAACACATAGTTGACGGAGCGCAGTGCCAGCCACAAACACATAGTTGATGGAGCGCAGTGCCAGCCACAGATAGTTGGAGCACAGTTCCAGCCACAAACACTCAGTTGATGGAGCGCAGTGCCAGCCACAGATAGTTGATGGAGCACAGTGCCAGCCACAGACAGTTGGAGTGCAGTGCCAGCCACAAACACATAATTGACGGAGCACAGTGCCAGCCACAGACAGTTGGAGCACAGTGCCAGCCACAAACACTCAGTTGATGAAGTGCAGTGCCAGCCACAGACAAAAAGCTAAAGTAAGAATAATCACTAAATCCCATCCCTGGCAGCACACTCCCCCACTCTTCATAGATCTAAACTTACTCCCTGTTCAGTACATCCACACTTACTACTGTGCAATCTACATCTACAGGACCTTAACCTCCAATATCAACCTTGACCTAAAACGCTTTCTTGATAGTTGTGACAGAACCCACAGGCATAACACCAGACACAAACATCTCTACGACATTCCCCGTGTCCGACTAAACCTTTACAAAAAATTCAATGTATATCAAAGGCCCTAAAATCTGGAACACCCTACCTGAGAACTCTAGAACTGCAGACACATTCATCACCTTCAAAACTACCATTAGAAAGCATCTTATCTCCCTGATACACCCCGTCAACTAACTACACGAATACCACCTGGTGGCTCACACTTACACTCACTCACCCATTTGACCATAAACAGAAATATTAATCTCAATCTTAAAATAATGAATCCTGTGATACTCCAATACTGAAAATATGTACTGTGCCAAAACAAAAGTATTCACATTGCTAAACTCACAAACTAGTATTTAGTTACTTAGCCATAATACCAACTTACCTCATAATTTGTAATATTTTAAAATTAAGAATTAATCTAAATCTGCCCGAAATGCCTAGCCATGCTAGGTGTTCTAGTGGTACACACTGTAATCATTATTTTACTACATGTAAACCACACAATAACCAAGTTCTGTAAACTCAGCATTGTAATCCTTATGGAGAATAAACTTTGAACTGAATTTGAATTGAATTGAATTGAATTGAATAGTTGGCGGAGCGCAGTGCCAGCCACAGACAGTTGGAGCACAGTGCCAGCCACAAACATTCAGTTGATGGAGCACAACGCCAGCCACAGACAGTTGATGGAGCACAGTGCCAGCCACAGACACTCAGCTGATGGAGCACAGTGCCAGCCACAGACAGTTGATGGAGCACAGTGCCAGCCACAGACACTCAGCTGATGGAGCGCAGTGCCAGCCACAGACAGTTGATGGAGCACAGTGCCAGCCACAGACACTCAGCTGATGGAGCGCAGTGCCAGCCACAGACAGCTGATGGAGCACAGTGCCAGCCACAGACACTCAGCTGATGGAGCACAGTGCCAGCCACAGACACTCAGCTGATGGAGCGCAGTGCCAGCCACAGACAGTTGATGGAGCACAGTGCCAGCCACAGACACTCAGCTGATGGAGCACAGTGCCAGCCACAGACACTCAGCTGATGGAGCGTAGTGCCAGCCACAGACAGTTGATGGAGTGTAGTGCCAACCACAGACACTCAGCTGATGGAGCATAGTGCCAGCCACAGACACTCAGCTGATGGAGCACAGTGCCAGCCACAGATACTCAGCTGATGGAGCACAGTGCCAGCCACAGATACTCAGCTGATGGAGCACAGTGCCAGCCACAGACACTCAGCTGATGGAGCACAGTGCCAGCCACAGACACTCAGCTGATGGAGCACAGTGCCAGCCACAGACACTCAGCTGATGGAGCACAGTGCCAGCCACAGACACTCAGCTGATGGAGCACAGTGCCAGCCACAGTCACTCAGCTGATGGAGCACAGTGATAAGATAAGATAAGGTAAGATTTCGTTCGGATTTTTAACCCCGGAGGGTTAGCCACCCAGGATAACCCACGAAAGTCAGTGCGTCATCGAGGACTGTCTAACTTATTTCCATTGGGGTCCTTAATCTTGTCCCCCAGGATGCGACCCACACCAGTCGACTAATACCCAGGTACCTATTTGCTGCTAGGTGAACAGGACAACAGGTGTAAGGAAACGTGTCGGAATGTTTCCACCCGCCGGGAATCGAACCCGGGCCCTCCGTGTGTGAAGCGGGAGCTTTAGCCACCAGGCCACCGGGCCACAGCCACAGACACTCAGCTGATGGAGCGTAGTGCCAGCCACAGACAGTTGAGTTTTATATATAGTCATTTGAATGTGTTCCAGCTCCTGGGCCTCTTTATTTTTACTCCTTTCGAGGATTGGTGGGGGGGGGGTTGTATCTTTATCCTGGTGAAAGGCTGTTAATCCAAGGAACCGGAGAGACCTTTCCCTTCCTCAGATCAAACGTGTTTACCTCACATTACCCAAGAGCTGAATGACCCATACAGGTTTAGCACTTCTCTATAATAATAATAATAATAATAACAATGTAATGTATAACAATAAATACTAATAATGCATAACAATAAATAATAATTATAATAATAATAATAATAATAATATAATGTATAACAAAGAATAATAATAATAATAATAATAATAATAATAATAATAATAATAATAATTAATAATAATAATAATAAACAGCCTCGCTGATTTCTGAGAATTGTCTGGTCTAAGTTTTTCAAGTATAAACCGCCATAGGTCGCTGTATATTGAGTGTTATAAATCACACATATAAGCTACATTCTTATATTTTTATAACCTAATCACCGACTGACCTAACTTCTCATTAATTTTTATATTAGGTCAATAAATTTGCAAATAGTTCATGCAGACATGGGAAATCTGGAAAAACAGATTGGACGTGCAACTATGACCACCCTAGAAAATGCCGTGCCCATATGACAACAGGAAAATGCAAACTCCCTTCCTGTAAGCTTTTTCACCCTGAAATGTGTACCTCTTCAGTACAGGAAAGACTGTGCTATAACTTAAATTGCCAGGCACACCATCTAAAAGGGACAAAAAGATACAAAACATCCAGGCCATGGGAAAACCTGGGTAGCCACAGCCACTCAAGAGGGAGAGGTTTTTTAGTGCCAGGAAGGAAAACAAACTGGCAGGAAATGGCAGAAATTGTACACCAAATCCAGTCATTCCTGGAGTGGAACCACAGTCGATGGCCTCCACTCCAAACCAACAGATACAAATACTAATGCCGGAAAAAAAATCCCCCCCCAGTACCAACAATACCACCAGTCCGATGACATTCTTCTTTGCAAATATGCAGGGTCTAAAGCCAGCAACAAACAAAAAAATACCTTTAATCCGTGGACTGCTTGCAGAGGCAAAGGCAATGTTCGCGGCTTTCACTGAGACCCACATAAAGGATCACTTGGACAACGAAATATGGATCCCAGGTTACAACCTATACAGATGTGACAGAGTGAACAGGCAAAAGGGGGGGGGGTTGGCTTGTACATTGCAGAGTCACTTGTTTGCACAGAACTGCCTAATGCCTCAAATGATGTAGTGGAAGTTTTAGCAGTAAAGGCCGAGAACCAAAACCTAGTCATTGTGGTAGTCTACAAGCCTCCGGATGCAACATCCCAGCAATTCCACTAACAGCTGTTAAAAATTGACCACTGTCTGGAAAATCTTCCAGCTCCTGCACCCAACATCTTGCTCCTGGGGGATTTCAACTTAAGGCACCTAAAATGGAGGAATATAGCAAATAATATTGTTGCAGTAATAACACCAGGAGGCAGCTCTGATGAAAACTCACACTCACACGAGCTTTTAAATCTCTGCACAAAATTCAATTTAAACCAGAAAATAATAGAGCCTACTAGAATGGAGAATACACTAGACCTCATCTTCACTAACAATGATGATCTGATAAGAAATGTCACCATATCAAAAACAATATACTCAGATCACAACATAATTGAGGTTCAGACATGTATGCGCGGAGCCCCAGACCGACAAAATGAGATTAATCACGAGGGAGCATTCACCAAATTCAACTTCAATAACAAAAACATAAAGTGGGACCAAGTAAACCAAGTCCTAACCGATATAAGCTGGGAAGATATACTAAGCAACACAGACCCCAACTTATGCCTAGAACAGATTAACTTGGTGGCACTCGATGTAAGCACAAGACTTATTCCTCTAAGAAAAAGGAGGAGTAAATGCAAAATAGAAAGAGACAGGCACTCTCTTTACAGGCGACGGAAAAGAATAACAGAGCGGCTAAAAGAGGTCAATCTATCTGAAATGCGTAGGGAGACACTGGTCAGAGAAATAGCATACATCGAACTTAAGCTAAAGGAATCTTACAGGAGTCAGGAATCGCGGGAAGAACTAAAAGCCATAAATGAAATCGAAAGAAACCTAACGTATTCTCCTATGCCAAATCAAAGTCGAGAACAACATCCAGTATTGGGCCCTTACTTAAACAAGATGGGTCCTACACAGATGACAGCAAGGAAATGAGTGAGCTACTCAAGTCCCAATATGACTCAGTTTTTAGCAAGCCACTAACCAGACTGAGAGTCGAAGATCAAAATGATTTTTTTATGAGAGAGCCACAGAATTTGGTTAACACAAGCCTATCTGATGTTATCCTGACGCCAAATGACTTCGAACAGGCGATAAATGACATGCCCATGCACTCTGCCCCAGGGCCAGACTCATGGAACTCCGAGTTCATCAAGAACTGCAAGAAGCCCCTATCACGAGCCTTTACCATCCTATGGAGAGGGAGCATGGACACAGGGGTCGTCCCACAGTTACTAAAAACAACAGACATAGCCCCACTCCACAAAGGGGGCAGTAAAGCAACAGCAAAGAACTACAGACCGATAGCACCAACATCCCATATCATAAAAATCTTTGAAAGAGTCCTAAGAAGCAAGATCACCACCCATCTAGAAACCCATCAGTTACACAACCCAGGGCAACATGGGTTTAGAGCAGGTCGCTCCTGTCTGTCTCAACTATTGGATCACTACGACAAGGTCCTAAATGCACTAGAAGACAAAAAGAATGCAAATGTAATATATACAGACTTTGCAAAAGCCTTCGACAAGTGTGACCATGGCATAATAGCGCACAAAATGCGTGCTAAAGGAATAACAGGAAAAGTCGGTCGATGGATCTATAATTTCCTCACTAACAGAACACAGAGAGTAGTAGTCAACAGAGTAAAGTCCGAGGCAGCTACAGTGAAAAGCTCTGTTCCACAAGGCACAGTACTCACTCCCATCTTGTTCCTCATCCTCATATCTGACATAGACAAGGATGTCAGCCACAGCACCGTGTCTTCCTTTGCAGATGACACCCAAATCTGCATGACAGTGTCTTCAATTGCAGACACTGCAAGGCTCCAGGCGGACATCAACCAAATCTTTCAGTGGGCTGCAGAAAACAATATCAAGTTCAACGATGAGAAATTTCAATTACTCAGATATGGTAAACACGAGGAAATTAAATCTTCATCAGAGTACAAAACAAATTCTGGCCACAAAATAGAGCGAAACACCAACGTCAAAGACCTGGGAGTGATCATGTCCGAGGATCTCACCTTCAAGGACCATAACATTGTATCAATCGCATCTGCTAGAAAAATGACAGGATGGATAATGAGAACCTTCAAAACGAGGGATGCCAAGCCCATGATGACACTCTTCAGGTCACTTGTTCTATCTAGGCTGGAATATTGCTGCACACTAACAGCACCTTTCAAGGCAGGTGAAATTGCTGACCTAGAAAATGTACAGAGAACCTTAACGGCACGCATAACGGAGATAAAACACCTCAATTACTGGGAGCACTTGAGGTTCCTGAACCTGTATTCCCTGGAACGCAGGCGGGAGAGATACATGATTATATACACCTGGAAAATCCTAGAGGGACTAGTACCGAACTTGCACACGAAAATCACTCACTACAAAAGCAAAAGACTTGGCAGACGATGCAACATCCCCCCAATGAAAAGCAGGGGTGTCACTAGCACGTTAAGAGACCATACAATAAGTGTAAGGGGCCCGAGACTGTTCAACTGCCTCCCAGCATACATAAGGGGGATTACCAACAGACCCCTGGCAGTCTTCAAGCTGGCACTGGACAAGCACCTAAAGTCGGTTCCTGATCAGCCGGGCTGTGGCTCGTACGTTGGTTTGCGTGCAGCCAGCAGTAATAGCCTGGTTGATCAGGCTCTGATCCACCAGAAGGCCTGGTCACAGACCGGGCCGCGGGGGCGTTGACCCCCGGAACTCTCTCCAGGTAAACTCCAGGTTATCATGGTGACCTGATTATTTACTCAACAAATGTTGGGGCCCAGAGTCCTTGGACTCTGGATGTGTACGTGGTGAGTACCACCCACACAATGCTGGGGCCAGAGTCCCTGGACTCTGGATGTGTACGTGGTGAGTACCACCCACACAGTGTTGGGGCCCAGAGTCCCTGGACTCTGGAAGTGTACGTGATGAGTACCACCCACACAGTGCTGGGACCCAGAGCCCCTGGACTCTGGATGTGTACGTGGTGAGTACCACCCACACAGTGCTAGGGCCCAGAGTCCCTGTACTCTGGATGTGTACGTGGTGAGTACCACCCACACAGTGCTGGGGCCCAGAGTCCCTGGACTCTGAATGTGTATGTGGGGCCCAGAGTCTCTGGACTCTGGATGTGTACGTAATGAGTACCACCCACTCAGTGCTGGGGCCCAGAGTCCCTGGACTCTGGATGTGTACATGGTGAGTACCACCCACACAGTGTTGGGGCCCAGAGTCCCTGGACTCTGGATGTGTGCGTGGTGAGTACCACCCACACAATGCTAGGGCCCAGAGTCCCTGGACTCTGGATGTGTGCGGGGTGAGTACCACCCACACAGTGGGCAGGGGGTGAGTACCACCCACACAATGGGCAGGGGGTGAGTACCACCCACACAGTGGGCAGGGGTTGAGTACCACCCACACAATGGGCAGGGGGTTAGTACCATCCACACAATGGGCAGGAGGCGAGTACCACCCACACAATGGGCAGGGGGTGAGTACCGCCCACACAATGGGCACGGGGTGAGTACCGCCCACAGAATGGGTACGGAGTGCATAAAGTTATTGAACTAATTTTGAGAGGTAGCAAAAATATTTTTGCTTTAGAAGTCCTTCACTTATTCTATGTTCTTTTTCTAGGTGAGTGTGAGGCATGATGTGGCTGCGGCTCCAGTGTATGTCCTACTTGCTGACCCTGCCAGTACTTGCAGTTGATTTCCAGACGGAAAAAGACGGTGTCGAGGATGACATCTCTCACGGAAATGCAGAATCACACAATGATGGACGTAGGTGGTTATCACCTGCAGAGATAGGACAACACAGTGTGGGGATCATATCCTCTGGAGACAAAGAACCATTGGAGGTTAGGGATGACTCATCACCCACAAATGCAGAACTGTTAAAGGCTGGGGACGACCCATTACTCACAGACTTAGAATTACCCAGTTTTGGAGGCGACTTGCTATATGGAGAGCCAGAACTGTCCTTGAGTGCTGAAAACCCTCATAGCATTGGAGAGGAGTCGACTGGGGATGCGTCCCTAAATACCATTCCTTTATCTAAATACAATACCGCAACCACAGCAATAGCTTCCAACAATAAAAGCAATGATAAGGAACACAAAAGGGACAAAAACGCTGAAATTAGTGACAAAACACAAGTCAGTGTCAAACAGATCACTGCTATTCCACCCCAGGTGTATAGCTCTAGCACTGTGCTCTCTTCTGAGAGTAACAAGCTGGTCACTCGACCACGACGAGCAGGCAATTCAAGATTCAATACGACAGGGCCAGATTTCGACGTTTCCGGTCTTTGTAAATCCTTATATAAATCATCGCATGGACTACCGAGAACGCCTTTAGGATATGTTTACAAAATTAATTCACGCAGGTTCATTTATTTGTATGTAATGGAAAAAATTGTTGATATATGCCTACCCTTATATCGATCCTTTTATAAGTGTAAAGAGTACAAATATCTCACACTTTGTATTGAACAGAAAGTAGGATTTATACATTCACACGGTTGTAAAAGGATCTCGGAAGAAGACATATTTTTCGAATTTTTTCTTGGTCTTTACATCATTAGCAACGACACCGAGTGTATGGAGAGGGTGTGTGATGGTTCATTCAGGTTCAGAGAAGCCAGCGTAAAAGGAGTTACATATCAGATTTTTAATCTTCGAGACTTTCGCGGAGGAAGTAAAGTATGCCATAAAAACTTTGAACTTCTAGGCACCTACGCATCTGGCAGGTATAATATAACGTATTTAACTGTGAATAATCTTTGGCCAATTTGTTGCCCTATGTGCGTGGTGGTCTGGAACGACAAGCCAGAAGACTATGGTATCAATGGTGGCTGGAGTTATTTGAATGACTCCTGTCGGGCAAGTGAGGTATTGCTGATCACGCTAGTGGCGTGTGTGGCAGTGAGTGGGGTGGTGGGTAATGTGTTAGTTCTAGTGGTGATGCTCACCAGTAGACATGGAGGAGAGGAGTCCAGCATGCTTCGCACCTCACTAGCCCTGGCCGACCTCCTCACCGTGCTCTTTGTAGTGATCCCCGCCCTTTTCTACCACATTTCCCCCTTTATCAAACAAACTCATTATACAGTATTAAACAAACGTGCTTATTTTAACTATAAGAGTGTTACAAAGCGTGACGCAACTGAGTTAATAGCTAAAAACTTTTTGGTATATTCTAAGGGCTATGTTTTGTTCCAATCTCTTTTAAGCAAAACGTGTTCTACAGTGTCACTGTTTATTATGTTCTTGCTGAGCGTAGAGAGGTTAGTGCTGACAGGTCGTGCACTACGTTACTATGATTACATTTCAAGAGGACGGATCAAGTTAGTCATTGTGTCCACCTGGGCTGTAAGTCTCATGATCGCTCTTCTGAACTCTTATGATGAACATGGCTTCATTATTGCCTTATGGTCAACCTTCTCCAAACTGCCAACCAGATATATAAGAAATTACCCAGATGTTTTACTGTTTGCTTTTCTTTCTAATTTACATATAGTCCTTCATATGATAACTGTTTTGGCTACGGTGATTTTATCTATGTTAGCCTTCAGGAATTTTCTACGTGAGAGAGAACGTGAGCACTCCGAGTGGAACTATGGCATCAAGTCTACCAGATTGTATTCCAAAGATGATCGCCGAATCTTAATTACAATGTCATTTATAACAGCATTTTATCTCATCTCTGTTGTCCCTAGCGCAATCCAGTTTCTCCTTTATTCTACAGGTAACACGCCTATTGAAGAATTTTTACTTGACTATTTTGCATCATGGATATTCTTGGTTAACACTGCCTGGAATCCGTGGGTATACAACTTCTGCAGCAGCCAGTTTATCAGTGACATGGCTGAGATGCTCCACAGAGTGCTGCCGGAGAGGTTAGGCTGCAACCTTAAGCCACACATGATACAGTCGCAGCACGAGTATAGAGAAGATAATTTTGAACTTAATCCGCGGGCAAAGGTGATGTTACGAAGACTGGGATTCCCAGAAACTTGTGCTTGAGTGCCCGTGCCAGTCCTCCTGCCAGCACTCCACGGTTTCTTCCTTCACCCTCACCTTCAATGTGTCTCCTCTGGGCCTCATAGAAACTTATACTGTTGGATCGCAGCTGCAGTATTGTGAGAACTCTTATGTGTGAGTTGTGACTCGTGTTATACAGAGTGTAACACTGGAAATAGCGTTCCGTTTGATACCTCTGCTGCCCCTCATCAGCTACCCCTCTTCCTTGCATTTAAACTAAGCCGTTCGCCTCTATCAAGGTGCAGTGTAGAGGCGTATTTTGCTGCTCCTTTGGTACTCGAACATCTGAGTTCCGCACAGCTAGTCGCCTCTGCCTACCTGAGAAATAGGGATGAATCTCCCATCCTGCGTGAGTTGGTGATCCAGACCCGAGGCCTGCCAGATGAATCAGACTGTGCCACTTGTACAAAATGTGTTATGTCTCTAACTGAGGAAGGGGAGTGTGAAATAAGGGGTTAACTGAAAGGGGTATGTGAAGCTAAGGGAAAACTGAACAGTGAAGAGGGTTTTGAAAGAGAAAATTTACTAGTAATTCAGTGGTGATTGCTAAAGCAGAGACTAGGGTTTGCTAGGAAACTGGAAAAGAGAAATAAATATTGTTGTATATAAGTAAAAGAGTGAAGAGTGAAAATGGCAGGCATTAGGGGGGTACAGACTGCCATAATTATATTTATCTTTCTCCTGCAACTCCATGAAAATAGAAATCAGTCATGGGGGCTGGAAAAGGCGAATGGAGTAATAGCACCCTGGACAGTAAAAGCCCAACAGTTGCCATTTTACCAGAAAAGTAAATGTCACTATCGCCACAAGGTATGGCAACACCGCATACCCAAACAAAAACAGTGGCACACAGCTCTTATTGGCTCGTCTTCCTTATTTCCCACTTCTACCACTACCACTACTACTACCTCTTCTTCTTCTACTACCTCTACTGATGAAATTAGACACATGTGCGGCGTCTGGTTGTCTTTGTTGTGGACGTTTCGCCATCCAGTGGCTGGCTGGATGGCGAAACGTCTACGGTGGGGATGCCCGGGTGTTGTGCATGTGTCATTTCATCCTGTCGGTATTATATACAATTCTTGTACTACTACTACTACTACCATTACTACTACCTCCACCTCTTCCTGCCTATATATAGCCGTCCTGCTCCACCTCTGTTAGTGTGACTTTGTCAATGGTCCAAGTCGGACCGAAACGTCGTCGTAAGCTTCTGTCTTTTATGTGCGGGTTATTTGTGTATCGTTCCAGTCACGGTATTGTGCCTTTTTGTTATTTATATTAGTTACTTATTGTAGTGCTCTTAAGTGGTGATATCCAAATTAATCCAGGACCTCAAACTGTTGTGCAAAGGCAAAACAAACAGATAAATGACGGTGCTAATGATGGTCTAGTAGCTAGGAATGATAACCTTAACTCCATATGTAATACATACATAGGTCAATGTGAGACAATACAGCCATTCTTATTATCTCAAACACCACCAAACAGGCATACACTGTACTAAAGTACGCAAGAAAAGCAGAAAAGACGCCTTATGTAAAATGTGTAAGGGGTGGGTGCATGATGGGTGTATGTACAATTATAGTAAGCATTCGTCTCTCGACCTGCGGGGAGAGAGGACGCTTCTACAGTTTCTCTTGCATGCCACCTGGTGAGGAAAACATAGCATTATCACCAAGATGGCGGACCGTATGAGCCTGTGCATAAATACCGTCTGCATCCAGCTGGTCAGGGGATCTTTAAGCAGCACCACGATGAACATTCTCCTGTCAAGCATTATCAGAAACCTTTATGGCATCCCCAATGAAGAATTGTACAGCATAGTGCTGAATGGTATGTCAAGGGACTTTGTGAAGTTCATGAGGGCCGACTTCTACTCTAACATCGTCGATGAATTTCAAGAAAGGAGGAAGAGCGTCAGTTCGGCAGTGGAAGTATGCTTGCATGATGTGTCAAAATATTTTATTCGGGTGAAGATACGGAATGTACCTTTTGAAGCGACAGCATACAGCCTACAGGATGTGTTCAGTGGTTATGGGACTGTACACTCGGCGAGTATGGGAATGTGGAGGGACGGCCACTACGAGGAGCTGCCGGAAGGACCCTTCATGCTGAAAATGACTCTGAGGAGGCCGATACCATCGTACGTCACATTGCATGGCTATAGAACTCAGGTTTTTGTACACTATGCGGGGCAGAGGAGGACGTGCTATTTATGTGACTCTTATGAGCACATGGCGGCACAATGCCTCAGGAGACAGGGCCCTAGGGTTCAAGAAAAAGCTTCTGAAGACAAGGAGTTAGAAGCCTTGGACGTTATGACGGGTGATGTAGAAGGCCGTGGAAAGGGCCTATGGAGTGAGGAGATTGAAAGAGCAGAGGTGGTTTTGGAGACATGTATTACACTACCAGAGGAAACGGGGGGGGGGAGGGCATATCGCTGTCAGACAGACCATTAGGTATTACATATTCAGCTCAAGAAGGGATTTTGGAGGCTGTGCTGAAGGATTTTTTGGAAGTGTCGGAGCATGGTGTGGAAAGCGACGAGAGGTTAGGTGATGTTAAGGTGATGGACAAACAGAAACGGGGTAAGGAAGACTTGAGTGAGGCTAGAATGGAGAGCAATGTGGTGGTGGAGGTCCATCAAGAAGATGTGACTGAAAGAGATAAGTGTGTAGAGGGTAGCTCCCGCAAGAGATCAGCAGGGGCATCAGACATGGACAAGGTCCTCACACTGGCGCAGCGCCCTGGGAAGAAGGTTTGGGCAGCTGTGGTGGAAACGGCAAGACCGGCAAGGGATGGGGGGCAATGGGAAGATCAGCAGGAAGGGACAGGGAGGGGTTGGAGGGCAGGAACGAGGGATTGATAGAGACCTATGAAAGGAGGACCAAGTAAGCCTCAGCGGCATAGGGGTAAGCCGCCATTCTTGTAATTTTCAGGTGTGTAACTTGTAAACTGTCTTAAGACCGAGGTCAAGAGGGTATGGTTAGAGTAGTTTTTAAGGAGATTTAGTATTGATGTCTGTTTTTTGCAATAACATAACCATAGGTTAGGAGTTGGTTTTGAATGGTTATAGGTTGTTTACCTGTGATGCTTTGAGGTTGAAAGGAGGTGTGGCTGTGGCGGTAAAGGAAACCAATTCTTTGCATATCCTGGGTTGGGAGGAGGGGGGTGAAAGGGTTGTCAGGGTGGATGGGTTTTGGGGGGCTGGGAGGGTTTGTTTTGTAGGTGTGTACATGCCTGCAAATAGTAACGCTAGAGTGAAGGTGGATTTTGTAAGCGATGTTTTGGTGTATCATTTGAGAGGTTTACCGGCTATTATGGTGATTGGCGGGGATTGGAACTGTGTAATTAGGAATGAGGATGTGGTTTCAAGGGGGGGGGCGGGTTGTGTTTTGGGGGTTCTGAGAGACGTTTTGCGGGATGTTGGAGTGGTAGATGTGGTGGGGAGTAGGGGATATGGAGTGGAGCACACTTTTATTTGTAGGGGATATGAAGCACGGTTAGATAGGATTTATGTTAGGCAGGGAATAGGTGTGAAGAGGGTGAGGACTATAGATGCGGGTTTTTCTGATCATCGTGCTGTTATAGCAGATTTGAGGGTAGATGGTATAGTGAGAGTTTATTCGGGATACTGGAAATTGAATGTGAGGCTACTTAGGGACAAGGGTGATGCTACAGGAGTTGAAGATTGGTGGAAATCCTTTTGGGAGACTAAGAATAGGGAGATGTATTTGCTGGATTGGTGGGAAATGAGGGCTAAAGTTGGAATCGCAGACTTTTTTAAAGTATGGGGTAAGGAGATGGCGAGGTGGAACTATGGTCTACAAAATTATCTTGAAGGTCAGTTAAATGACTGTTATGCAGAGGAACAGGTGGGGCAGAGTGAGGACATGGAACGTTTGCGAAATAGGTTGGCAGAAATCCATAATGAAAAGTTTGAGGCAATTAGAGTTAGGGCAGGGTTGGAGGATGCTTTAAGAGGGGATAGGCCATCAGGATTTGTACTCAGGAAGTTTAAGGAAAGGCAGGCGAAAACCACCTTGGTGTATATAGTGGCAGGTACAGGAAGGGGGGGTGGATTTGAAGAGGGTTAAGGCCTGTCCACCATGGAAAATATTAGTTTGTATGGCGATTTTTGGTTTAGGGAGAAATGGAGGAGGGTTGGTGGGGAAGTGGGTGAGGGATGTTTTGGGGATGAGGGATTTAATGGGGTATTAAGTGAGCAGGACAGTGACAGACTCGAGAGTAGTATTAGTGTAGAGGAGGTGGAGGAGGCAGTTTTTGGGCTGTGCCAGGGTAAAACCCCTGGGATAGACGGCATACCGAACGATTTTTATAGGTGTCATTGGGGGAGTGTACGGCATTATCTGGTGGGGGTTTTGAATTGTATGTTAAGTAGTGGGAGGATGGGAAAATTGCAAAGAACGGGAGTCACGGTTTTAGTGCCCAAAAAGAAGTAATGCCGAGTTTTGAGTGATTACCATGCGATTACTTTAATGTGCTTGGATTACAAGATTTTTGCTAAGATTTTGGGCAACAGAATGAGGAAAGTGTTGGGTTTAGTGTTACATAGGGGCAGTTGGGAATTCTGGGGAGAAGGATGAGGGATGGACATGGTTTTATTAGGAATTTTCTAGAGAGTTGTACGGGAGGGGGAATACTAGGCTTAGATTGGGAGAACGTATATGATTGCATGGACAGAGTTTTCTTAGGGGTTTGCTTAGAGAGGTTGGGGTTTCGGGAGGCGGTAGTGAGGTGGGTGAACACCCTGTATGCTGAGGCGGAGGTGAGGGTACAGGTCAATGGGAGGTTGGGTGAAAGTGTACCGATGGAGAGAGGTTTGAGGCTAAGATCCCCGCTATCGCAACTGCTCTTTGCGTGTGTGCAGAATCCTATGAGTCTGTTGAGTGGGTGATGGACAAACAGGAGATGGAGGGGGGTGCAAAGGGGGCATCATTGGGTATGTAGATGATACTACTGTTTTGC